ATGCAAAAATGAATAATATCATAAAACTTGATTTTTAAGGATTCTATACAGAAATTAAGAAAACATTTAATTTTTCATTTTTTTCTAAATTCAAACATTATTTCTCATATCCTTAAATTCAATTTAACCAATAGTAAATCAATATGCAATTTACAAATAATCATATCAAATAAAAATGCATTTAATTTTGCATTGAAAACTGAAAAAATCAACTAATTTGAAAAAAAAAAAAAATCTCTAGAAAATCATCTATTATGATATAGAGTGGGAGTCGGGTTCGCACAGTTAAATTTGTTAAGGGTGTTTGAGGATTAGAGAATTCTATGTCGCGGACTCACTTAGAACAAAGACTGAGAATAAGAATTATTTATTGCTGTTAATATTAAACTGTGACTACAAAAAAAGTTTCTCTGCCAAAAGTTTTGAACCCCTTTTTGGGTGAATACAATGAGCTCTATATAGATTTCTAAGTAAATTGGGTCAACTAATAGAATTTGGCCCATTAAACAATATATTAAATTTAGGCTCATAATTACATTAAGCCCATTTCGCTTATGAGTTTAATGTCATTTTGGACATAGATTCAGACTTGGTCTTTGTAGTCTTGCTCCGATTTCGTCAGGACGTGCGGAGTTGATCTCATCGTTATATCGATCTCATATGGGAGAAATCCGACCCCTACAGTTAGCCCCCCAGCTTGGCAGTATCTAGTTATGATGATGCCTAGATAAAAGTTTCCGAAGTTTGAGATCGATATGTTGGACTGCGAAGTTACCAGGCGTGAACTTCTTATCACCGAACTAGAGAAGTTTCTGTTATTCCATGTTGAGCCGATGTCAGCGTGTTTTCCTGGACTTGATATGTTTGACTACGAAATTGCCAGGCATGGACGGCTTATCACCGAACTCGGGAAGTTTCTGTTATTCCTGGACTTGTTTTTTTTTCTTTTACTTGGAGGACTGATAGAGTTGATAATCTTATTGCGTTAGTGGGCCTTGAAACCTGCTGAAATTTTTTTGGAATTTGTTCAAAAACAATGTGATTTTAGTAAATCCTCCAGATATAAATAAGTCGGCTTCCTTGGCGTTATTTCCTACCAATTCACTTTTTCTCTAAACAAAAGTAAAAAAAATCTTCTCCTCC